AGTTTTTAGTGTGAACTCCTAGACAGTATCAGATTAAGAGCCTGGTTTTCTCCCCTCTACTCCTGGTCCCACCCATTTGGCACACACGCTTACAGGGATCCAGCTACACTTTGGATGATTCCTGCGCAATTACTGCTTTTATTTTCTGTAACTAAAACACTGAGAAATTGGTACCTCTCCAGATCAATATTCCACATATAGTATGCAAGGACAGGTGTATGAGTAGCCAGCAAAAGTCATCCTGCAGACACAGGGGGATTGTTCACAGGTGTGACTGACTTGGCACTCACTCTCCAGCAGGACAGAATGTTGCTATCAGGGGTTCCAGAAAGCTCAGTGCCAGTTGAAGATTGGCAGTTGGTTCGTTCCAGCTGTTCTTAAAGGTATTCTCTCTCTACAGGAATTTAAAAGTTGGCTCATGGTTATGGCTTAAGATTTCAATGCTTAGCTCTTTCTGTTTGGATTCTTTCTTTAGAAACAGTAAGATGCTTCTTCTCCATGCTAAACTGCTTACAAACTTGTATAGAGTTAGATCTATTATTACCAGTGACCACAGCTGGGAAAACCCTGGGGGAAAAATAAGTCATCCTGTGCAGGGCATACCATTAAATGTAGCAGTTAGTGCCTTAGCTTTCACCTGTTCTGGTAGCATTAGGCAGACACCCAGAAAGAGAGAGAGAGAGAGAGAGAGAGAGAGAGAGAGAGAGAGAGAGAGAAGTGTTCTTAGGCTAGTTTCAGCTTTTGCCTTTCTCTGTGGTCTTTAGAGGCCCTGGCTTGTATGATCTGTTGAGAGAAAAGGAGAAAGCAAATATTTTTTTGAGATCAAAACTGCCTATATCTATCTAAAATCTCTTTTTGGTTTCAATCTAAATATTCAAAGGGGAAATTTTTATTGTTGATCATTTTATATTAAAGGGTTGACTGTATTCTAATTTAAAATACAAAAGAAATAAGACATTGCAGTAAATAGAAGTGTGGGGCAGCAGGTGTTTATTCTCATGGCTGAGATACTTGCATTCCAAATCAGAGTGCCCGGGTTCAATTCCTGCCTCTGGCTCAGGACTCCAGCCTCTTGCCAACACAGACTCTTGAGTGGCAGGTGGCGATGGCACAAATGATTGGGTTCTTGCTGCCATCTGGTAGACCTGGATTCAGTTCCAGTTTGGGGTTCAGTTCCAGCCTGTGGCTGGAGCCCAGGCTTGAGGAGAATGAAACAGCGATGAAGATCAGTCACTCTTTTTTTTCTTCTTTTCTCTCTTCCCCTCCATATCTCCTCGCTTCGAATTAAAAAAAAAATTAAATAAATAAATGTGCGACATCCTTATATTCTCTTTAGTTTGCCAAGAAATGGAAAATATGACTTAAAAAGAATCTCTCGTCATTTGTAGGAGCAATGATGTCTATTCTAGAAGGGTTTTTTGGTTTTCAGAATATCACTTCATATAAACAGCTGGATTTCTTTTATAGAATGATAATACATGTTGCTCAATGTTTAGGTAATTTTACTTAGGAATTCATGTGGTAAAAAAAAACACACAATACAATGCTCCTACCTTATAAGTAGAATTAGAATTTGAGTGACCTACTATTAATTTTTATCAATAATCAAAATATGCAATAATGAACAACTATTAAGACAAGAGGAACTGTTACTTATCATAGAATTATTCCATAAATCAGAGAAAATAAGTTTTGAACCCTCTAGGATGATCTATTATGGGGCAATCAAGTGGCCTGTAGTACAAGTACCATTTAAGGAGCTTAAACTCAGCCTGTTCTATGTATATCTTGACCCTGCTTGAAAGATGAACTCAGTGATAGGTATTGAGGGGCTGGTGCCAAGGCACCGTGGGCTAAACTTCCTCCTGTGGTGCTGGCATCCCATAGGATGGTTCTAGTCCCTTCTGATCTAGTTCCTTGCTTATGGCCTGGGAAAGTAGCAAAGGATGGCTCAGGTTCTTTGGCCTCTGCACCCAGCTGGAAGATCAGAGGAGGCTTTTGGCTCCTGGCTTTGCATCAGTAGGGATATCATGTGCACATAGAAAAAATACTGTGTAGTTGAATTTTTAAAAATTAATGACTGGAATAAAATGTAAAAAAAACCAAAAAAAAACATGTACTCATTTTTATTTGAAAGGCAGTTTTTCAGAGATTTTATAGGTAGGAACCCAATCCAGGTGTCCTACCAGGTGGGCACCAGGACCTGTCCCTCAGGGTCTGCATGGACAGGATGGGCAGACGGGTCAGCAGCCAGAGCCAGGAAGCACACTCAGGTGCTGGGGGAGTGGGCGCATCTTACCAGGGGGCCAAACACTCAACTTTGGATTTTGCAAGTCTTCATGATGATTTCTTCTTGATACAAATGCATGTACTGCAATGATTCTGAAAACTGATCAAATCCACTGCAGCCCATGTCCCAAGGGAATGTAACAAGTGTCTCTGCTCAAAGAGACAGGGGGTGGGACACATGGGACCTCTTAGCGCCATTTCCTTAATTTGGGGGGTTTGTAATATGAGTTGTTCTAGAACGACTCGATTAAAACGGGAAAATAATCGCTCTGCTTGCTTCCATACCTGTACGTGTTCATTGAATACATATTAAAGCATTCCCATAAAGTATTAAAGTATTCCCATAATATCTTTTCAGTTAGAAGTGTATTCTCTAACTCCATGAACAATTTCCAGGTTTAGTCTGGACCCCTAGGGAACACTTGCTCTAGCAATACCTAACAGGATTAGCACAACATGAGTTTTCTTTTCCTTCCTATGGTGAAAACACACAGAACATTTTGTGTTCCATATTATTTCCAACAAGAGCAGTTTTAATTACTTTCAAAACTGAAGATTTTAAATTTAGAGTGAGGCTGAATTTATAATTTCTAATTAAGCATTTTCTAAAGCTCAAAACTAGTAACTAGCAGATCTTAGCAACACATTATGTATACAATAAGATACAGATATTGGGAGCTCCTATTAGCTGATAATGGGAAATTATATTAACTTTATTTAGAAAACTATTCACATTTATTACCTTAAGTTTATCACTTGAATGTTTTTTGGTCTATTTTTGCCCCATTGAAGACTGCAGCAAACATATTCCAGTTGTAGGCTAAAACACTGCTTAGAAGTCCACCTGCTGAAGGTCACCTCTATCATTGCTTCAATGACACTTTTTTCTGAATTGAATGCTTTTCATTTTCCAGCTATCCCATAGGGACTGCTTTACTGATTTTCCTAATTAAAATGCTATTGTACTTGGGATGTTATTTTTGTTTTGTAAAGAATTAGAAAGCAGAGCCACTGTAAGTTATCACATGGATGCTCAAGGTACAGCTTCTAATGTTGAAAAATAGGAAAAGAAATTGACCTTGATGAAGTGTGTCTTCTTTTGTCTGTTCCTAGGAAAGTTGATTTCAGGCCTCCCTGCTGCTGAAATGATGGGCGTTAACAGCTCTCCCCCTCCGTTTTCTTCCGCAGGGTCTCTCCATCTCCCTGATATATGGGGTGTACAACACGCAGGTAAGTTGGCTGACAGAGTGAATGAGAGAAATGACAGGTTTCTTATCTTGATAACTGAGGAACAAAGTTGGCCTTCCATCCGAGTGTCCCACTGCCCTTCATGCTTGGACTGGCTTATACGCATCCCAGCTTCCCAAGAACCGCGGACGCTCTCAATCCAGGGACAGCATCATTTCTCACGGGCAATGACTAATATTTTACAACTGCCTTAAGTTGTTCCGGATTCTCCGTCTTTAACATGCCGCCATGCTCGACAGTTTTCCGAGTTTAAGTGGCTGCAGGCTTCTCTCCGGCAGCATGGGCTTAGAAAGGTGCAACTAGCTCTGACCTCAACATGCTCATTCCATACACACGTAAGGTTTTTTTTTTTTTTTTCAGGCAGGCTCAGAGAGGTCCACAGTGTTGGTAAAAAATATATATGGTTCCTCTGAGAAGGAGTCATCGTTTAAACATGAGAGTTAGAAGCCCAGAATATGTACACGGTACCTTCTGAAGCAAACACTGCTATTAAACTACTGTCCACTCTTGCAGCAATTTTGGTTAAAACTTTGTGGGGTGTGTAAGTACGCCTGGTTAGACAAGCCAGGATCACTCACACGTTGGCAGGCACAGAACAAATCCTGTTGGATGCTGTGGACGTTTTGAGTTCAAGATTTCACTTTCTCATTTTCCTCTAATGGCAAAAACTGTCGGGAGTGGCGGGGCTCTAGTGGAGTTTCTGGAGATTCTGCACTTGGGAAGAGCGGGTCCCGGCAGCGATGGGGCAGGGCCCGGGTGCACAGGTGCCAGGGCAGCCATGCCACGTGGCAAACAGGCGTGTGGGGACTGAAGTGGCACCCGGCGACGCCGAGGCGTGTGCGGGGGCGTGTTTTACGGGCCTGCCGCGCCTGGATGACACACGCTGGCTTTTTCCAGGTAGCCTTCAGGTAAGTTGGCAGACACTCAACTTTTTTTTTTTCTTTTGCAACGGTACCTCTATTGCGGTTTCCAAGTGGGTTCCCCCTATAAAGCCGAGGCAAGGTTAGTGTTTCTAATCTACCCTCCACGGGGAGAAAAGGAAAGGCTTTGCAAGCCAGGACGGTCCTAAGCGACCAGGTGCTGGGGTCTGGAATTTGGACCAAGTCAAGGAAACCCCGAGCAGCAGGCCCTCCGTCAGGACGTCATCCCGTCCTCAAGCCCCGGTTCGCAGACACTGCCACGCCGCGCCGCAGAACGGGGTCTCCCGCCCCGCTCCCCAACTTCCCGCCCCGCCGCGCGCCTCGCCAATCAGGCCGGCGCGCTCGGGAGCCCCGCCGACGGCCGCCCCCCAACAACAGGCCCCCGCACCGCACGCCCCATCTCCGCCCAACCGCCCCGGTGATTGACGGGCCGGCCGGGCGGAAGCTGCGGCGCAGGCGCCCTGACTCGGCAGCGCTCCCCTCTTGGCCGGGTCGAGGCGTTCCCAGCAGACACCGCGCCGCGGCTGCGCAGTCCCGGGGAGGCTTTTAATTCCATTGTGGAGAGGACGGCGTTATTTTTATTAACTGGAGGCGACGGCGGCTGCGGCGGCGGCAGGACCCGTAAGTGTGGCGGGTGGGTCCGGGGGCGAGTGGCCGGGCCGCGGCGCGCCGGCGCCCGAGGCGGCCGGGCCGGGAGAGCGGGGTGCTGGGCGCGCTGCGGTCGGGGCGGCGGCGCGGCGGGGTCCTGGGCGCTGCGGTGGTCCCGGCCCGGGGCCCGGTCCCACCCCGCGTCCTCCCTCTGCCCTCTCCTCAGCCAGGCCTCCTCCGGGGCATGAAAATCGGCAGTGGGCTCCTGAGTGGCGGCGGTGGGACCGGCAGTAGCGGTGGTAGCGGCTCCGGCGGCGGCAGCGGCGGCGGCGGCGGCGGCGGCGGCGGCCGGCGAGCGGACATGGAGCCCACCTTTCCCCAGGGTATGGTTATGTTCAACCACCGGCTGCCCCCGGTCACCAGCTTCACCCGGCCGGCCGGCTCGGCCGCCCCTCCCCCGCCGTGCGTGTTGTCCTCCTCTACCTCCGCAGCCCCGGCCGCCGAGCCCCCCCCTCCGCCAGCCCCGGACATGACTTTCAAGAAGGAGCCGGCGGCGTCCGCCGCGGCCTTCCCCCCGCAGAGGACCTCCTGGGGCTTCTTGCAGTCTCTGGTTAGCATCAAGCAGGAGAAGCCCGCGGACCCCGACGAGCCGCAGCCGCAGTCCCACCACCACCATCACCACCACCACTACGGGGGGCTGTTCGCTGGGGCCGAAGAGCGCTCGCCGGGCCTCGGAGGCGGGGAAGGGGGGAGCCACGGCGTGATCCAGGACCTCAGCATTCTCCACCAGCACGTCCAGCAGCAGCAGCAGCAGCAGCAGCAGCCAGGCCAGCACCACCGCGACGTGTTACTCAGCAGCAGCAGTGGCGGCGGCGGCGGCAGCAGCAGGACCGAAGACCACCATGGCAGCCAGGAGCCAAAGCAGGACGCGAACGTCAAAAAGGCGAAGAGGCCAAAGCCAGAATCTCAGGGAATTAAAGCCAAGAGGAAGCCAAGCGCATCTTCCAAACCTTCTTTGGTCGGAGATGGAGAAAGTGCTGTCCTCTGCCCCAGTCAGAAACCTCATATCTGTGACCACTGCAGCGCTGCTTTCCGGAGCTCCTATCACCTGCGAAGACACGTTCTCATTCACACGGGAGAGAGGCCGTTCCAGTGCAGCCAGTGCAGCATGGGCTTCATTCAGAAATACCTCCTGCAGAGGCACGAGAAAATCCACAGTCGGGAGAAGCCCTTTGGGTGCGACCAGTGCAGCATGAAGTTCATCCAGAAGTACCACATGGAGAGACACAAGAGGACGCATAGCGGAGAAAAGCCATATAAATGTGACACCTGCCAACAGTATTTTTCAAGGACTGATAGGTTGTTGAAGCACAGGCGCACCTGTGGGGAAGCCATGGCTAAAGGAGCCGCTGGTGCAGAACCTGGGGCATCCAACCACAGCGGCGGCGTGGGCAGCCTGGCTGTGTTGTCTCAGGGAAACTCCAGTTCTTCGAGGAGGAAAGCGAAGTCGAAAAGCATAGCGATCGAAAACAAGGAACACAAGACCGGGAAAGCCAACGAGTCGCAAGTTTCAAACAGTATACACATGCCGAGTTACACGGTCGAGATGCCCAGCGTGTCTTCCAGCGGTGGTCTCATGGGCACTGGCATAGACGAGCTGCAGAAAAGGGTGCCAAAGCTGATCTTCAAGAAGGGCAGCAGGAAGAGTACGGACAAAAACTACCTGAACTTCGTGTCCCCGCTGCCAGACCTGGTGGGTCAGAAGGCCCTGTCGGGGAAGCCCGGTGGCTCGCTCGGCGTCGTGTCCAATAGCAGCGTGGAGAGCATCGGTCTCCTCCAGAGTGCAGGTGGCAAGCAAGGGCAGATCAGTAGTAATTATGATGATGCCATGCAGTTTTCCAAGAAAAGAAGATACTTGCCAACTGCCAGCAGCAACAGTGCCTTCTCTATCAACGTGGGCCACATGGTCTCCCAGCAGTCGGTCATTCAGGCCGCGGGGGTCAGCGTCTTGGACAATGAGGCGCCATTGTCACTCATTGACTCCTCAGCACTCAACGCTGAAATCAAGTCTTGTCACGACAAGTCCGGCATTCCCGATGAGGTCCTCCAGAGTATTTTGGATCAGTATTCCAACAAATCCGAAAGCCAGAAGGAGGATCCTTTCGACATGGCAGAGCCGCGAGTGGGCTTGCACACCTCGGGAGAACATTCGGAACTGGTTCAAGAAGAGAATTTGAGCCCAAGCACCCAAACTTCTTCAAATGACAAAGCAAGCATGTTGCAAGAATACTCCAAATACCTCCAGCAGGCTTTTGAGAAATCCACGAATGCAGGTTTTACCCTCGGGCACGGTTTCCAGTTTGTCAGTTTGTCCTCACCTCTCCACAACCACACTTTATTTCCAGAGAAACAGATATACACTACGTCTCCGTTGGAGTGTGGTTTCGGCCAGTCTGTTACCTCAGTGTTGCCATCCTCATTGCCAAAGCCTCCTTTTGGGATGTTGTTTGGATCCCAGCCAGGTCTTTACCTGTCTGCTCTGGACGCTGCCCATCAGCAGCTGACCCCTTCCCAGGAGCTGGACGACCTGATAGATTCTCAGAAGAATTTAGAGACTTCATCAGCCTTCCAGTCCTCATCTCAGAAACTGACCAGCCAGAAGGAACAACAGAAAAACTTGGAGTCCTCCACGAGCTTTCCGATCCCATCTCAGGAGTTAGCTAGCCAGATCGATCCTCAGAAAGACGTAGAGCCTAGAACAACGTACCAGATCGAGAACTTTGCACAAGCGTTCGGTTCTCAGTTTAAGTCGGGCAGCAGGGTGCCAATGACCTTTGTCACTAACTCTAATGGAGAAGTGGACCATAGGGGCAGGACCTCGGTGTCAGATTTCTCAGGGTATACAAATATGATGTCTGATGTGAGTGAGCCATGTAGTACACGAGTAAAGACGCCCACCAGCCAGAGTTACAGGTAAGGTCCAGCAGGCGGCCAGGCCGGGGGGCCTTGAATGGAATTTTGTTTTATTTTGAGAACACTGCCATTGGAATGTTTCTACACGATCCTATTAAGAATAATGTAATGCCCTTTCAATGCAACTTTTCATATTTAGTTTATTTTGTTAGTGTGATTTTAGCTCTGTTTGTATTATGATTTTTAATCAAAATCAATAGATTAAAAATAGTTTGACATTCAAAGTGACAATGTTTAGCAATCAAATTTACATGTATAGGTTGTCAGGGAATAGCCCAAAAGTTTTAAACGCAAAAACAAAAAACTACAAAAAGCTTAAAAGGAAAAACAAACAAAAAAATCTTTGTTGCTAGGATTAAGGTTATTCTAATTGCTTTACTCTCAGGAAAGTAATAACGCATGGGAACTCTGTACGTTATCGCTGTAATGGAATATCCACCTTACAGATAGTGTGATATACATTTCATCTTTTAAGTAAGGGATCGAAAACATTTCAGATTGCTCTGTCTGGGCCGAAATGTTAGACATTTCATCATTTAAGTAAGGGATTTATAAAAAAAAACATTTCAAATCGCTGTCTCCATCTGGGCTGATCCAAAGTTCTGAGATTGTTGGCTACCTATATTTTGTTGCAGCTTTGAAATGTACTCTGAACTTCCAAACCACATTCATTCCAGCCTGGTAGAACAAATATTCTTGGATCTTTGATCAAAGCCTGGAATGATAGCTTTAATAAGAGAAGAGAAAAAAAAAAAGCACCCTGTGTTGACGCTAACTGTAACAAGGCTGTAATTCCATGAAGTGATTCTACTGCTCCGAGGCTGGGGCGGTTGGTTCCAGTGGCAGCTCCAGAGTTGGAATTGCATGGTATGCTGAGATGTGGGGTCTGCATTATTTATTACACGTGGCCTGAGACGTTCTCTGTGCTGTTACCTGTCCACCCTCACGTCCGCTGGTGTTCTCGTTCCTCAACTCTGTTCCTAAGAGTTCTGGACCTTCCTTCTCCCCGCTTCTCCCTGTCTGGACAGTTTCAGTTTTAAAATGACTTACATTCCAATAGATAATCGATTATGCCTTTTACATATGCCTCATGGCATCCAAATACTAAACAAATAGAATAAGCATCCCTAACACCCACCTTTTTTGTGTGTGTCTTCAAAAAGCCACATGCTGATTTCCATGTGTAGTAGAGCCCTATGTACCTGGAGCTACAGGTACTAAGGAGATTGCAAGCCCAGCTGGTAATGTAGCTCATGTGAGGGATGAACGTAGTAGTGACATCAGAACGACATCTTTGTATGTAGTGATGACATCAGAACCTCTTTGTGAAATTGCAGCCTTGAACGTCCATGGGGAAAGGGTGCGTCCGTCAGTATTGTACAGGGATCTTGTCATCAGAACTCACTGCAAACGCTTATTGCCATTGGAAGCTACTGATATTGGCAGTGGCTCTGCTCTAAACCACTTTTTAGCAATTGTATTTTTCTTGATTATATATTTTTAATGTACTTTGATGTTTATGCTGATGAGTTTTTTATGTACTTTTGGTGATGTTTCAGTCTTATGTACTCTTCTGACGTCAGAAAAGTGCCACTGGTTGTTTGCAGTCTTATTGTGTAATCAGCCTACCACAGGCTTCCATGTATAATAAAGTAATTAATATTGTGCAAGTGTAAAACACTTCTGTTATAAAAGCAGTGTTTGGAAAATAAGAAATTATTAAAAAAAATGGTTACAAAATACTAGTTAATTTCCTTTCCCCACTTTCTTCCCTTTAGCTTTAACAGCTGAAGGATCTTTGCAAGATTCTTAGAAAATGTGTTTAATCCTCTTAAATACCACTCAGTACTAAAAAGTCTGTATTATTTTGGTAAGTGTGGTAAGTTCTGTTGGGTACAGAGTACAAAGGATGACGAGGACCTTTTCCACTGTATCTCTAAGCTGTATGATTTTTCTCCAGTTTTTTGTTTCATAAAGGTTTTGAATTTCTTTAACTTTTATTGTGTGTACTGAATACTGCATATGTATTATTCTGATTGTTTGCTCTAGTTTACTACCAATAAAAGTCCTGTTAATCACAAAATTGAAGAAAGGATATATCACTTAATGTCATCCAGTCACGGGTTTTTGGAGTTTTCTGTGGCCTACGTAAAACACTGGCATTACTGAAAAAACCAGTGGTTCAGGAGCTTGTGCTTTTATTGTGTATTTTACATTTAAGTATTTTATGTTTCTAGGCTTGCTTCATTTGAAAGTAGGTTGAATGCTTTGTGTTTTGCAGCACACAATGGTACGGGAGAATTAAATTTAATATATAAATCCGAAACATGTTTTACTGAAATGGGTGAGTCTTCCTGTTATTCCAGAGAGATGATGTATTGAAGTTTTGGGTTCTAGGTGCAATCTTTTTTTTTGCATCGAAAGATAGAAGTGAAATGACAGTATGATATAGGTAAAAATGGCCTTGAGCCCTTTTGTAGTATGAAAAAAAAGTATTGTGAAGTCATAGTAAACATTGCTTTTAAGAAATTGAAAGTGTGGTTGTTGAAGAGCTAAAAGGATGTTAATATTAGCGATGCAGAACATGTGTTTAAAAGCTGGTGGGTGTTGTTAACTTTTGCAGATGTCCAAGATCTTGGGGGAAAATGTGCTTTAGAATTTAGTGGCTGCAAGTATTGAGGGATGAGGAATAAAAATATGGAAGGATGGAGAATGTCTTAGAGGCTTTGCACTCAGTTGTGGATGATGGTATTCTAAGATGAGCGATTTGCATGGAGTGTAAGCACACATTCTGTGTAGAAACATCTACTGAAGGTCCATCTGATGACGAAACTGCGTTCTCTTCACTAAGGTTATTCCTGAGATTTTTGTCATTTTCTCACACTGATTCTGAGTCTGCCATGATTGCCCCACGTGGGTGATTTGTTTCTTCTGGATTATTCCTAACATTAATTTCCTAACCCATCTACATACCTTTCTTTTGTGTACTATAGGTATCCAAATAGGACATTTTTAAGTGAAAAGTTTTTACTTTTAAGTTGTTAGGTTATGGAGTAGAAAGCAAATATTAGGATTTTTGTTGTGTTACTGTTACTGTAGGTTCAAGTGATTATTGGTCACTGGTTTGTGAGGTAACTGACCTGAGCTCAGTTCTCATCACTCTTGCCTGCCTGATTAAGTGGATGTCCTAACAGTGATGAGAGGAACAAGAAAAATCTGTGTAAAAATTGTTTACATTGTCTTTAAAATTGTGAAGAGTGATACAAATATATACCTCAGATTCAGGTTTCCGTGTTACACTGATGAGGCGAGAGACAGAGGTTTTTGTTCATTCCCGGTATTTGGTTTGATGATAGCTGTTTGTCGTCATCGTGCTTAGGTGTGAACCAGGGGATAGCTTGAGCATCTTGGCCTGTGGTGCATTGGACATGGTTAGCCTGCAGCTTGATCGAGTCTCATTCAGTAGAACATCCTTCAAGAAGTTCCGTTTTCAGAACAGGACTGTCGTTTGCTGAGGTTCATGTTCTTCATGTTTTCTTTGATACTTCAGTGTTGTGTTTTTTGAGTGTGATACACATTAGTGTTGTGATATGATCTATCATACTGTGTTGAGGTTATGTCAGTAATGGCCCATGAGTATTTTTGTTGCGAAATCTCTCCTGGTATTTAAGGCAAGTCTGGTGGGTCACCAGTCGGCCTGTATCCTTTGTGAAATGATAAGAGTTCTTGATAGACTTTGAGAGAAATTGTTATGTTCTGCTTGTTAATATTTTTTATCCCTAATAACTTATTTAAAATGAAGATTAGCATAAACATAGCATCTTGGATTTCTGTTATCTTGAAAAGAATCATAAAGAAGTCCTGAGGCTGCTGATAGCTGGTAGAGATTATTGCCGTAAAGAGGATGTATACATTAAGATTATTTCCACTGTCTTTGTATTTGTTTTGCTTTTTTTAAAAAGTACTGACTCCAATGATTTGAATGTGATCAGTTTGATTTTGTGTAGGTTTTTGATGACTCCCGCGCTCACTGCCTGCCAGATAAGGTGGATGCCCTTATGCCTCTAGTTGTGCTAGGGAAAGTCGACAGGCCAGCCTGTGTGCTCACAACACCTCCCCCACCCCAATTCTGAAACAGAGTTGTGCCTGTTGACGTTAAGAATCCCCACCTCAGAAGACTAGCTGAATACTGTGATTTTCAGTTAATGCCTAAACTAAAAGTCACCGCATGTTAGGATTACTTTTAAGTTTTATCTGCAATTTGATTACTTAGCATTTATGGAATATGTTTAGGTTATATGAAGCCAGAAAGCTTCATGGTGAGCTGGGCCAGTCAGTTGAAAAGAATTTTTATTCCTTCACCTGTCTGATGCCATACAAATAGATGCCAGGTGGGACAGCTGCTGGTATTTTCTGTCAACACCAATACAAAAAAAAATAACATGCTAATGATGTTCAATAATTACAATCAAGTACTTTGCAATCAAATCTTTTTGGTTGCATAGAAGTAGCTTCCCAAGTAAGTATTGGCAAAAGTGGAAAGAAACCCACAGGCACGCACGTGTTTTTCCCTTCGAGGAGTGAGTACCATGGAGTTCTTAGTAACGTTTACACTGTACTTACTGCCGGAGTGTGACTAACTAGGTTGAAATGTCCTGGGTGAGATAAGCCTTACAAAGCATGGTATGTGTTGAAATAGGTATCGCTGGAGAAGTTGTAAACAGCTGGAGAAAAATATAATGGCTCGGGCCATAAAATCCGAAGGGGAAAATGTGTTCCCTGTGTTTTTAAGAGAACAAAAGAATAATGGGCAGTGGTTGAACGTTAGGGGAGGTAAGGGAGGTGTAACAGTAGAATGAGGAATAGGCTCTACTGGAAAATAAGGAATGTAGAATTTATCCCAATGTTTATAGTGACCCTGGAGAATTTAAATAACTAAAGGGTAAAGGAGGTCTTTGGTCGGAAAATACTGTTCTTATTTTGTCGTTCTTCCAGTTCAGACTTATTTTGGTACTTTTGGTTTGTTATGAACTTTAGTACTATTGTGGAGCAATTAATAAATAACTCTTAACAGACAAGTGTGGTGAACTTGTGTTTACATTCCCAATCTAGGGAGAAGATGGCTAATCTTTGTGTTTATATATTGGAATTTTTCTTCAGAAATTCCTAAAGTCACAAAATTTCTGTTGGTTAATAAGAGTTTTAATTTTGTTCCTACCAAAACAAAGTTATTGTTACATATAATCAAATAAATAGGCCTGGCGTTTAGGGCTGAAGAACTCTGAATCCACGTCCTCTACCCACTGACAGAGGAATGAGTACCATGCAAAACAGAATGTTGTGATGTAACTTGGAAAAAATGTGATTGTAAAATGTTGGGAATCCTTCATTTTAGCTCTGTCTTGAAAAATGATTGCTCATTTATTTATTTTGCATCAGATAAGAATCTTGGGTTTATACATATCTATTGGGAGAACTAAAGCTTCATTATTGAATTTGAGAATTTTTTTTTTAAATGTGGAGATTATCAGATTAACTTTTTACAATGTGAATTGCAAAATTGAATGACAACATCAGCCATGTAATTTGTGTTTGGTTGTACATAAACTAAGCTCTTCCTACAAGGAAGCCAAGTGCAAACATTTGAAAGACAGTTCCTTCTTTTCTGGAGGATAATGAGCACTGTAAATGCAGACCATTGTGGGTCGGCTTGAATAGACAGCCCAGGCCCTGGTGAGGTGAGTGGTTGGAACTGCAGAGTTTCTGATGCCTGCAGTGTCTTCATGGGCCAGGGCAGCACGCTCAGGGTGGAGTGGAGGCGGGCTGCAGTGAGACCTGAAGTTTTTGCTTTGCAAGTGGGTTATACACATTTTCACGATACACATTATGAAATGAAGTGTATAGATGCAAGGTGTACATTTTACATTTTACTCACATATACACTGGATAACAAGGTTCATTAGCACTGTAATGCATTTAATGTAAATGCATTAAAACCTTTTTACAATTAGGATACTTACTGCTTTCTACTTTTAAGTAGATTTTTAGTGAACATCGTGAAAGTGTTAATATGTTAAGGATTATGTTTGTAGGCTAAATTATCAGATAATTTTACTCTTAGACTTGGAAAACAGCAGCTGAAGTCGTAAATGTTTAATTTTTTTTTTATAAGGTCCACTAAGATGCCTTACATATTTGTATGCTCACTCAACTTTTGAGTGTATGGGTTGGTTGCTTTTTTTTTTTTTTTTTTTTTGCTTTGTTGGAGTTCTTACAATGGAAATTTGATCTCTTCAAGACTTGATTTAGAAAATTTGCAAGGGTAATCTGAAACTATTATACTCTTGACTTTGTAAGTAGCCTCTTAGTGGGAAGTTGTTTGCTGTTGCTTTAATTTTTATTTATTTGAGAAGCAGAAAGAGAGGGCTCCCCCCCTGCAGGATCACTTCCTAAACGCTCGCTCACGATGGCCAGGACCGAGCTGGGCTCGGTCAGGAACTAATCCAGGTTGAGAGTCAGTCTGAAATGAAACCGAGGAACTCAGAGATAGGACTTGGTTAAACACCTACCTGTTCCTGCCTCTAAGTTTTTGTAAGTTAAAAAAAAAAAAAAGACTAATAGATTGTTAGAGGTTTTCTGAAGTCATAGTAAAACCTTTGGATGTTTAAAGCTGTTGTGACAGATTTGTCTCTGAAAGGGAAGGAAGGACACTTGTGTAAGAAGGGAGAGACTGAAAGAGCAAAGAAATGGATGGTCATGACTGCCGTGGTCTTCTGGTTACAAGACTGCAAAGGTTCCGATTAGAAGCATTTGGGAAACCTGGTGCTCATCTGACCACGGGGGTCCCTCCCTTGGGTTTCTGCTGGCTTATCACGGCAATGCATTTCACAGCAAAATTAAAATGAGATTTGGGAAGATTGATAGAATTAATAGAATGTGATGGTTTTTCACTGTGCCTTTACGTTCTTAATAAACCTAGAACCAACTGAAGTTTGGGAAGGAGTCAGGGACAGTGGGTTTTTCGTTGATGGTGTGCATATTCTAGCACAGAGAGCGGGCTGAGCCTCAGAGGCAAAGGAAGCCAGGCTTAGGAGTTCCTCTCTGATAAACCCTTAACGCTTTTTCCTATTGAAACTTGAATTTTGACTTGCTATAATTGAACATAGAATATTTTAAGTTTAAAAAAAAAGAGCATCCTAAACAGATGACTTGTGATACAGAATAAAAAATTACACTTTCATTGTTAGTGAAACCCTGAGTGCTAAAGAATGACAAGAAAACATTTTTGGCCTTTAAATCTTGTCAGCCCATCTGCATATGTAATTGAAGTCTTAAATTCAAGCAAGTAAAGTTTACAGAATTAATTTTGCATAATTATGAAATAATTTCAGAGCTTCTCATGATTTTTAATGATGGAAATTATTTTTCTAATTTCTAAATGGAAAGTGTGCATTTTATGATAAGGAATGATCATACTGTATCCTATTTAGTCATTTGCACATCTGAACCAATATTCCCATCTGGAACTAAAACACAAAAACATTTTCAACAATCTGAAAGTACTATTTGTTAAGAATGTTCTGTACAGAAATATAACTTGGAATCTTAACAGCTGAATGTGAGAGCAGAAATTTAAAATATATGTTGAAATGCCTATCATAATTCAGTTAGTGATTTCGTTTCTAAGCCATGTATATGTAATTTTGAATTTTAAATTTATAGTTATTCAAGATTGTGCTCCTTTCCTGTACTTGTTCTGTATTAAAAATATGTAAAATAAAAATTCTGAAATACATAGTATGTGCATATATACATATACACGTAGATCAAGAAGTTTATTTTTCAGATGGAAAACTAGAAAGGGCAGCCGGTGGATGTGACCGACCTGTTTGGAGCTGTTCAAATTGGCAAGAAAGCAGCTTAGCCTGTCAGCAGGAAGCAGACCACTGTCTGAACCTGACTTGATTTGCTTTAGCAGCTCATTGCTAGGCCGGCATTATGGCTGCCTGCAGTGCTCTATGCCACAGACTGATTCAGCCCTGGAGTTCCGCCGTGCAGCTCCTGGCCCCTCCTGGCCCCTCCTGGCCCTGGCCAGTGGTAGCGGCCATATGAGGAGTGAACTAGCAGATGGAAGATCTCTTTCTCTTGTCTGCCTTCTTTTAAAAGTCCACTACCCCCCCGCCTTTTTTTTTTTTTAAAGAAAACTGCCTAGAAATTGGGGTTGACAAAACAGTATTTTTAAAATTCTTTGTAGGGTTTTTCTCCCTACGTTTCAAAAATAGTCACTTCAAAACTTTTTTTTTTAAAGATTTATGTATTTATTGGAAAGTTAGATATACAGAGAGGAGGAGAGACAGAGAGGAAGATCTTCCGTCCGATGATTCACTCCCCAAGTGTGTGCAACAATAACCGATGCTATGCGGAGCCAAAGCCAGGAGCCAGGAACTTCTTCCGGATATTGCAGGGTCCCAAGGCTTTCCTCAACTGCTTTCCCAGGCCACAAGCAGGGAGCTGGGTGGGAAGTGGAGCTGCCAGGATTAGAACCGGTGCCCATATGGGATCCCGGGGTGTGCAAGCTGAGGGCTTTAGCTGCTAGGCCATGCCGCCGAGCCTGTCACTTCAGAACTTTTAAGAGGCTACCAATATTGGATGGCAGGAGTTGTTTGAGATTTATGATAAAATATAAGAAATGCTGTTTTGGAAAAGGAAAATTTTCATTTGAGTTGAATAACTATGTTTAGCAATCCTTTGTAAGTTGTTAAAAATGAAGTAATTACCTTATAAACATGTGATGTGGATTATTGTTTAACTAGAATAGATGAAAATTTCATTGGTTTCTACCAGTCCCTCTAAAGCCATTAGAATAGTAGGAGTCTTTATAGCTGGAATTTGTAAATGAATCTTAAGTTTTTAAAAATGTTTGTGTTTGAGAGAGATCTTCCATCTACTGCTTCACTCTCCAGCTGCCCGCAGGACACAAGGCTGGGCCTGACTAGAGGCAGGAGGCTGAGGCTCGAGCCAGGTAGCCCACGTGGTAGCAGGCACCTGTGTCTGAGCCCTGGCCACTGCCTGCTGCTGCTCTGGGTGGCCTTGGCTGGAAGGCAGGATCCAGGATGGGGTCGCTGATGGGGAACGCCATCCCTCCAGGTGGCTACAGCATCGGCCCAGGCCCAATTTCCCCGTGTTTTCCTTTAGGCTAACAGCATCACTTGATCTTAGATTAGAAATAGACATGTTTTAGACTCGAAATTAGATTTCTTAGATTAGAAATTAGATGTTTTGACACTCTTGTAGTTTCACTTTGCTGAGCTGATTTAAAATTTACCTTTGTACTAGAAATGAATGGATCCTTTCACTGTCGCCAGACACTCCTTCAAGTAAATGCAGTTTGTAAGATGGACATTAATGATGCCCAGGGCTCCCCTGGATGTTGGTCCCAGTTGTGTTATTCAAGTTGAAACCACCTGATTTTGAACTTGGACTATATTCCTTCCTCTATTTGTGTGTGTGTGTGTGTAAGGCAAATTTACAGGTAGAAGGAGAGGAAGGAGAGACAGATCTGACTGCTGATTCACTCCCTGAGTGGCCCCAACAGCTGGAGCTAAGCCCATCTGGAGCCAAGAGCTTCTTCCCCCGCGGGTGCAGGGTCCCAAGGCTTTGGGCCGTCCTTGACTGCTTTCCCAGGACACAAGCAGGGAGCTGGATGGGAAGTGGAACAGCTGGGACACCAGCCAATGCCCTT